GTTTTATCTTTTGATTTTAGAGCTTTATTATTAGAAGCCTCATCTTGTTCTGTAACTGCAGTTTTTAATTTGTTCTGTAACTGCAGTTTTTAATTTCTATTTGAGGAGGACAAATTGGTAAATTCTAGATGTATATTATGGAGGGTAGGTACATCTTTGTTGTGTAGAACCTGTTCCTCTTACTTGAAGGGAAAATGTACTTTCTGCTTATTTTAAAGGAATAAATGTAAAACCTTGGGGCTGATGGCAGGGAGAAAGATTTCTCTTTCTTTCTCCTTGGGCTTTAATGATCCTTCCGAGAATGCTGGTTGATCCCATGGCTGCCTGCTTTCTGCTTAGTTTCTCACTTTAGGACAGATGAATCTGTTGGTCTGCCCCTGCTCCTTGACACTTACAGGAGCAGTTAGCTTTGATAATGTGCTGTTTACTCTCTTGCAAACAGCTTCTGAAGGCCTTTGCTGTTGTATTCCTTGAATTTATGGTAATTTTTTTTAAGGCCATAATATTAGTGGCTGTCTTATTTGTTTGGCTTTTAATTTGGGACCCCTTTCCCTAATTAGTTGTGATTCTGTTGAAGAGTCTGTCTAGGTCCATTCTTTGTATCTTATTATTCCTTTATTTCATCACCTTAGTGTTACATCCATTGTGATGGGGACATGGGCATTGGCGATGTAGAAGGAAGGCTCAGTGTATATATCCAGGCAAGATTAAGTATTTTGACTTGGTGAATGATTACACACTCCATAAGGGGAAAATTTATCCAGACGCACAGAGCCATCGCCTAGTGCTACAGGGCTGTGGCCAACAAGAGTTTTACCCAGGGCAGCAGGACCACATGTGTTTCTTGACTTTTTACTCCTTTTACTTTCAGATTGCTTCATCCTGTGGTGTGCTGCTGCTATCTGCCTCATGTAGTGTACAGAATAAGAGGTTTTCCATTTGCTTGCACATTGTAAGCCCTTGAATTAAGAAGTCACTGAGATTTTAGTTGGTGAAAGGTGGGCAGTGTCTGGAATACCTCTTGAGTTTTTCACTTCTCCACTGGCAGTGAGTGCCACACCCTGGGCAGCGTGTTACACGCGGCCAGGGACAAGGTGACCCCACCTGTGTGTATAGAGCCATGGAACTGGGATTTCCAGCCACAGTCAGACTTATGGTGCCTGCCCTGTGACAGAGAGGGTGACTTGGAACATCCAGCCTGGTTTGTTCTGAACAGTTATGTTTTATGACCGGGACCCGAAGACAAACCTGATGTGCGTCTTCTGGGGCAGCGAGCCTCCGTGCTTTATCCTGTTTGCTGCTGTTCGTGAGACACTGCTTACCATTGCTCTATCTTATAAGTCTTGCACTTTCAGATTCTGTGTCATGGCTGGAAACTCCTGTGTACTAAGAGCACTTTACTTTTAGACGCTGGACATAGGACTTTATTTTCCTGGAGTTAGGTGTGGCTTAGACATGGCTAACCGTATATACAACTTTCTGAGCATTGATATTCTGCCCACCACTGGATAGTCAGATACTTTTCTCTTTATAGGAAAGTACTTTTGCAAATCTCCACTGCAGTTAAGATGCCACATGTAGACCAGCTTTGGAGATGTAAAATTGCCACTTAAAGTTCCCGGAGCCCTATTCCTTCCCAGAGAAGTTGCCCAATTAAGTTCAAGAATGAAAACCTGTAATAAGAGTTGTTTTGTTGTTGTTGTTTACTATTGAACCAGAACTGATCCATAGCTGACTCCTCTGTAGGTTTTCAGAGCAGATACTCGTGTGGGAGGAGATTGCCCATCTTTATCCCACTGAGCACCTGGTGGATTTGAACCACGTTTGAGGATTTTAGCACAGCCTCTTGCCACTGGGCCACCAGAGCTTCCTTTACGAAGGATAGGAATGAGCGATTCATATTCTAGATGGTAAAGGTAGTAGGAGTGAACAGAATCTTCCCGTATTTGGGTTTTTAATGTACTCTTTCTGATTTCCTTGTGGAATGTTGTCTTTCTCTTGGCCGCTAGTCAGGACTGCTCTGCTAGGAGATTCCTGTCCAACAGACCAAGGTAAGGAGGACAGCCGAGCTAGAGACCTGCTGGCCCACAGAGCGGGTGGACGAGCACCTTGTCTCCTGGGAGAGCACCTCCAGAGCGCCAGCATATTCTTTTAAGTCAGAGTTAATTCCAACATGTTTTGGTATTAGAAAAATATTTACTCATGAAATGAAATTGTTGCAAGGGGGCTCTAAGGAAACTTGGCTCTTGAGCATGGAACCTGAAGCCTTCCAACTCTATTGAGTTGACCATTTGGGGCTTTGGTGTCAGTAATTATTATTTTGATTATTATCAGAAATGTCAAATGAGCAAGGTTTATACCGTGACATCATTGTGGGTGCTGCATAATTGATTGATTTTTTTGCATTTAGTTGATTGTTTAATTGACATGAATCTTTTTCACAGTGAATTTACATAGAATCCAAAATGCTGGGACCATCCTTTGTCCAGCTCCCCTTCTCCGCCCTAGACTCATCAGGGTTTTATGGTATATGATAAATGAGCTGTTTAATCATTCGCTGCTACAGTTAAGTATAAAATTTAGATTACTAAAATTTATCATTTGGGGGAATCTGGCTCATCCTTGTTTTTGTTTATTAAACAGGAAAAGGACCAGCGCAGCCTAGACATAAACACTGCCAAGTGCATGTTGGGACTGTTATTAGGAAAAATCTGGCCCCTTTTTCCAGTTTTTCACCAATTTTTAGAGGTACCAAATTGTTATTTTATGAAATGTATGTTTTCTTTTCTTCGCACTTCTGAAATATTTATTTAACTATAAGATTTAGTTTTTGTTTGCTGTGCCTTTCCCCATGTAGGAATTGATGGTGACAATGCCTATAGCACCTACCTGTTCTCTGCGTGTCTGTGTTTAATGTTGTGTTGCATCATTCCATGTTAAAAATGCATTGGAAACAACAGCTCTGTCCTTCCTTTCTTGTTCTTTCTCCTCCCGTTTCATGAGCTTTACTTTTGTTAAAAAAAGCTCTTTATAACAGTAGGTTTCTTTTGGAGCTTTAACTGAAGTTCCATTTAGCAAAAGTTACAAACATCAAAACTAATCATCTGCCTTCTTTACTGACAGTATTGTCGTGGCGGTGTTGTTAAATGCTGTCAAGCTGAGTACATCCCATAGCAATCCTGTGAACAACACACCTGAACCCTACCCTACCCTGTGCCATCCTTACAGTCTGTGACACACTCGAGCCCATAGCTGCAGTCACTATGTTGGTCCACCTGGTTGGGGGTCTTCCTCACCTTCACTCTTCCTAACTCTTATCTCCAAGTCACTTAGACACCTTAGGATTTTGTTAGGCAAAACGGCTGTGTATCCTTCAGCCGAAGTTTTCTTCAGTTCTGTATTAAAAACAGTCCAGTTCTCTGTTGGCCTTTGGCTGCTTTAAATATTGGCAGTCATAAATTTTGAGCCACTGGTAATTAGCACTGGTTTTGATGAAATGCAATACTGGAAGTATTTCATATGTTTTGGTTTACTTGGGTTGTCCTATATGGCATCCTCATTGCCCTCCTATCCCAAACCTTTTTGTAAAATGTCTTTTGCCTGCGAGGTTGAGGGTATTGGGTCTTTGAAAGAACCTGGATTCTACCTTGATTCTAAATTCATTCTTGAGAGAATCTTTCTTACCATTTACTTTGAATAATGATCTACAGAAACTCTAAACAAACACAATTCTTTCAAAACTTGTTTTAACATTACTAACTGGACTTCTCAGAAATAATCTAAAAACCTGTGTTAATAAAAGAAGTCTTCTTTGTTCATGATCTGTATCTAAAAAGGAATTGTACTAATATCTCTGACAACTCCATGAGATAAATTAGACCTATTTGAAAAGAAAGCAAGTCTTTTCGAAAAAGTTCTTGTTCTCAGAGAGTTAAGCAAGGTTTGAGTGTGAAACGACGGTCTTCAGCTAAGCAGCCTCGCCTTGAGTAAATTTGCCTTAGCACAGCTCCAGGGGCATCATCAGCTATTTCACTGACTGGTTTTTACTCTGGTGGTTCAGAAAAAGAAATTTGTAGTCTGTACTTGATTCTCTTTCTTGCTGTCTCTCCTACTGATAACTTATTTACTTTGCATTTTTCTTTTAAAAGGAAAGTAATTCTTTAGCTTCTTGATTTCAGCTTTTCTTATGTTTGCATCCTGAAAACCATTAGCTCCACCCTCTGCTTTTTATGTACTTGTATTGTTTAGTATGTTCCTGATTTTAATGATAGAGATGGAAAACTATGGATTTTGAATATTATTTTTAAATCTTTATACAAGGATACCAAATTTTAATATATACATATTACATATTTCTTCTCTTAAGAGAATTGGAAAGCTACCTTGTAACAATTGTAATTTCTTTTATGATCAGACTCCAGTTTTGAATAATTTAAACATGAGTTTTCTTCAATGGCAAGAACAGCCGATTCTGAGAGCACTTGTACCCCTTTCTAAAGTTCTTGTGGAATGACTCATGCCTGTGTATCTCTGAGGCTGACATCTTGACAGTGAGCACACTCATCACAAGAAGGATTATTAATGGGAGCCATGCTCTACTTAGCATTGACGTTGTGCCAAGCACTGTTGAAGCCCATGGATCACATAAATGGCACCTTAGTCCTTCCTTTCTATGATGTAGGCATTATCCCCATCTTATATATAAGGACTTCTGAAACCTAAAAACTTAACATTTCGTGAAAGAAAATGATCATTTTGGTTTTTCTCTTTTTATATGCTTGTTCTATTGTATTTTGAACCCCCCTAAAATGTTGGTAATAAAACACTGTTAATTAAATTCTGCTCCAGCACTTCCTAACCATGAGCCTAGCTTGATTCTTAATAACACAAATGGGAAGGGCTAACCTTCCCTGAACTTAAGTTGATTCAGGCAGCAAGCGAAACTCTTCCGTACATTGATTTTAAGTGTCAATAATTCACATTGTTTTTCCCTCCACCAGCAATCAAAATACAAAGTTATTAACAAAGACCAGTGGTGCAACGTGCTAGAGTTCAGCAGGACAATTAATCTTGACCTTAGCAACTACGATGAAGATGGAGCGTGTAAGTACTTGTGCTGGGAACACTCACTCCTCCCTATCTCTGGGTTTGCACATCCTCCTCAGAGGAAAAAAAAAACACCACAAAAAAACCTCACTGCCACCTGGTTTCCCTCTCTCCCTGCAGGGCCCGTTTTGTTGGACGAGTTCGTGGAATGGTATAAAGACAAACAGATGTCATAGGACTTTATGCACAGCAGCGAGAGAGTCACTGTTACCACAGCTATGTCAACCATTAGCCATAAATTGCTGTTTGTATCAAAGCGCATGCTGCTTTTCTTGCACTCTCCCCCTCTTTAGGGACCTTGTGGTGTTTGCTGTTGAATGGGCCAGCTCTTCTGCTTGCTGTGTGGCATTGTCCTCTTGGAAGGCTGCTTTGCAGTTTCTATTTACACTACAGATTGGTGAATTTGCCAACGTCCTCACTGTGACTATGTGTATATTGCTGTTAAAATTTTGTATATGTGTATAAAAAGAACAAGCTTCACCTAGAGATTATTTCTGCAAAAATGTATTGTAAAAATGATTTTGTGGCATATTTTTAGTCCCTTTTTCAAATGAACCTTGTTTTATTTTAGTTGGTCTCAAATGTAGCATTTTGAAAAGCAAGACAAAACAGCTGTTAGCAGGAGCAAGCCTTGTCAGAATTAACCTCACTGCTTAAGAGGCCAAATTTTGGAAGGAGGAGGTGGGAGCTATAACTTTTCAGCAACATACTCCAAACATCATTTGGTTTATTTAGCAAGTAGCACATTAAAGTGATGAAAGTTGTAATTTGAACATAGAGTCTTGTACCATGTGGCATATTGTTTCCACCATCAACCATACAAGCTCTGGTTTTTTGTTTAAATATAGGTACAAATGAAAATTGCCTTCCCTCCCCCCTACTTTTTAAAATGGAATTTAAATTCTAAGCACTCTAATGGTTTTTGTCCCCTTTTACAGTCTTCTAGTCATTGTTTGTTCTGCTATTGCTTTCTGTGCCATTCAGAGTAAATGGATTTTTACCTCCTCCATGAAAACCTAATGGTTTGCTGGCAATTTATAGCTACAGACAGTGCTCTTTAATTTTGGCTTGACTTTTGAGTAAAACTTTCGTGATGTCTTTTTTTTTTTTTTTTAACTATACCATTAGGGAGCTGTGGTGGCAAGGAGTTGTGCTGCCAACCCAAAGGCACAGGCTTTAAATCCATCAGTTGTTCCGCGGGAGAGAGATAGGCAGTCTCCTCCTGTGCAGTTTACAGCCTCTGAAAACCCACTAGAGGGTCAGCTGTTGAGTCTGTTCCGACTCAAAGGGACACAGCGGCATCAACATATTGTAAGACTTTTTGGTTCTGATATTTCCTATTTTTTTCTTCTTCCTCTTTTTTGTTATGCTGGGCTTTTCCTGGCACAGTGTCCATTGCAGGCAGTGGACATGACTCCACCAGCATTGAGTATACATGGTAGGACCTTCCCTGGAGGGGCCTCGTCATTACCTGAATTATTTGTGCAGAAAGGTTATAGCCATTATTTATGTGGATGAGGAAACAAGAGTAATAATAAGCAGGATTATATTTTGTGTCTTGTTTTGCTTTTATTTGAGCCTTACTCTTTTAGGAGATCTATAGATAATGTGTTTTCCCTTCAACTATCTGGTGCTATTGATTGACTAATCCAGTCATTGAAATTTTGTGAAAACACAAAAATCTAATGATTTTACCAAGTGAAAAGCTAATGATGCATTTGAGCAATCTGAACAAGCAACTGCTATAACGAACTGTGAGCAAGATCCAAGATTGAACACATAATGATTGGAGGAGGTTTGGACTATTGAGAAACTTGCCCCCAGAGTCCTTTAGATTAAATGTGACCCCTTAAATGGCATTCAGTGAGTAAAGCACACAGACAATGCTACTACTCTTGACCACTCTCTCACTTCGTGAACAACGTTCAGGTTTTCAGCCAGTTTTCCCCCGAAACTGAACCACCAAAGATAGAAATCTTGTAAGTAAATGGAGTGTGTGTGCATAAACCAATCATGGTATGGCTGAATGCAGCTACTTACTTTCTCAAGCCAAACAGAAAGGGGTGGCTTGTGGTGAAATAAACCAGAAATTTCACATCCTCAGTAGTGAGCATACTTAATCATTCCTTGTTTGTAGACTCAGATTAATACGTTTGTATAAGTTACTATCTCAAAAGAATATGAAATGTTTACAACAAGCAGCAGCTATTGCTACTGCTATGTTGAAAGGGGCTCCATGAATGTGAGTGGATTAAAGAGGTGACTGGCCAAAGGCACATTCGGATGTGTGGAGAATGTCCTTTTATTTTTCAGACATATCCCTTTAATGTTAATAGGTCACACTTTGAAAGCAACAGCTCTTAAATGTGATCAACTTCAGTTTTACTTAAAACAAATATGTATCTTGAGATTACATCAGGTAACAAGTGATTAGTAAAATCTGGAGAATTTTTCTGCATTAAGCACAGTTGATGTAAATACAAGATTGTTGCATGGGGAGATGTTACATTTCATATACAATGAGCAAGTGAAAACCCAAACAGAAACTCTTTCATAAAACAGACAGTGAAAAAGTTAAGTGTTCCAGTGGCATAATTGTGCATCCTTGGAAAACTCCACATAATCTTTAAACTCTTGTGGAGAAAGGAATTAAGAAAATACCAAACCAACCCTGTGAATTCTAGTTTGAAGAGATTTTGTGTCATTTTTAAAGAGAAAAGAAGAGATCAAACAGTAAAAGAGGCTTTTTCTAAAACATTTCTCTTGAGTCATAAAATTGGTGAAGAGTTGTGGAACACTTTTGTATGAGCTGCTGTTGAGTTAGGATGCCTGTATCTGGGTTTCCTTTAGAACCTAGCAAAGCCTACCCCGATTCTGTTTCTCTCTCTTGTGTTTTAAATTCCACATTGCAATAATCTGTCCTAACAGAATACATCTCTTAGACAGTTACTGCTACGGTAGGTCAGAAATCCCATTATTGATTTGCCACAGTCACCCACTGGAATGCTATTTTTACCCTTTTTCTTTTGTAAGCATGAACTCTGAATTAGGGTTTTATGAATCTGACTATAGAGAAACTTCTAGATTCTGGTTCAGTGACAGATTTTTTTGCCTCAAAATCTCCATTTTAATAGTACTTTTGAAGTTTATATCAAAAGCTTTAAAAGTTGGTTTGGTCCCTTGGTTTTAATTCTTAAAACTGCTGAGATACCTCTGTAAGCCTTATCCTTTATCCTTTCATATGTTGTATAATAAATGTATAGACTTCATTGACCAACTAAAGTGTTGGGTGTCTGTAAAGGAGACCAAAATGTGGTTGCTTTTCTTTCATAAAATCATTTCTATTGGGGGTTACTGTTAAATGAACAGCAACTAACCTGTAACTGTGAATGCTTTGTGTCGTCAGTATTTGCATTACATTCATAAGTGTGCAAGTCCTGTGACTCCCAGCTTAACTGAAATATCTGTTAATACCACCTAACTTGAGTACAGCAAACTGGTTTTAGATTTTAAGGGAACTGATGTAAAATGATATTCCATAAATAAAAAGTATTTGTGTTTGGTTTCAGAACCTGGTTTGTGAGTTCTTCTTTCTTTCTTCAAAAACCATCCTGGATAATCTTTAGAGTGTCTTAAATTGTTTACCCTCTTTGATTCTCCATCTTGTTTATTGAAAAATTTCAAAGTGAAAGGGAAAGCAAGAGCAACATATTACCATATACCTGTGAACTGGATTTTTTTAGTTGCAAATGTTTTGCCACATTTCATCCCCCACAGAGAGGAGAGAATGCTGCTTTATATAGTTTGAGTTCATTTTTATGAACCATTTCAAAGTGCAGAATCCTAAAAATTCACATCCAGTATTTGAGTAAGGACATTCTTCAATGATCACATTTTAGGGCTCAGGCCGCCAGCCTGGCCAACTCCGTGTCCTGGACACGTCCTCTGCCTTGGGGCCTTGTCGTCCCACCTTGTATGCAGACTCCTGGCTCCGACATAAGGGACATGTGAGATAGCCTTCCTCTCCTGTTCCAGAATGGCCGCCTGGCCTCGGGCACTGGGGCATCATCTTCAAGCAGAGTGACATGGGTCAGGAAGCAGCCTACTATTTCTTTCTGCTGGTCGGACTGTATGTGGTGTGGGGTGCTGTGGGCCTAGCTTCGCTGCAGGGGCCCATGCATGTCAGTCCACCTTGTTAAGGGTCTTCCTCTCTTTCGCCAACCCTTCACTCTTCCCTTCCAGGCATCATGTCCCTCTCCAATGAATAGGCTTACCTATGTAAAGTACTGCATCAGAGAGCTGGACAATAAGGATGATAGAAGGATGAGTTAATGTGCTCAAGAAGAGTGTTGAACATACTGTGGACTGCCAGGAGAAACTGGTCTGTACTGGAGAGGGTGAAGCCAGTTTGCTCCCTAGAGGCAAGGATTTTGAGGCTCCATCTGACATACTTGGGCACATGGACAGGAGAGACAAGTCCTTGGAGGGAGACATTGTGCTTGGAAGGGTGGAGGAACAGCGCAGGACAAGAAGACGCAAGGTGAGATGGAGTGACTCAGTGACTGGAGCAGTGAGAGTAGATCTGTCGGAGACGATCTGAGGTTGGCTCACGATAGGGCAGGTTTCAAAGCTAATGTACATAGGGTCGCTGTGAGTCACAGGTGACTCAGTGGCATGTAAGGACAACATGTACTAAAAATAAGACAAAACTCATTACCATTGAGTTGGAACAGAATCACAGCCAACCATCAGGTTCCTGCTGTAAATCCTGAAACGAGGAGCTGGTGGATTCCACCTGCAGGAGATGCCAGGCCTTTGGGTTAGCAGTGTAGCTCGCTGTGGGCTCCACCACAAGAGCTATCCTAGAAGGTAGAGGGTGATGTGAGTCAGAATGTGTTCCCTTTTCACACATTCAGCAGGGAAAAGAGAAAAATAAAAAGACTTTCCCTTGAATTTGTTCTTAACATTTATCTCCAATTGCTTTAACAAAAATAAAAGTATCCAATGTATGGACGTAACAGTATTTGCATAGAAATCATGGGGAGTACAAGTAAGTAGGCTTGCAGAGAAGAACTAGAAACTGGAAAAACAAATGGCCTGTAGCAATTAAATGGAAATTTTGTTAAATCTTTATTTGAAATGTAAATCTCTTTTTTCAAAGACATTTATTCAGCCC